TGTAGACGATATGTTTGCAATAATTAAAGCAAAAGACGCGGAAGACATACTAAAAATATTAAATGCACAACATACAAAAATACAATTTACAGTCGAAAGGGAAAAATCAAGAAAATTGCCTTCCTAGGTGTAGAAGTGCATAAAAAGGGAAACCGAATTCTGCTGAACTGGTATGCAAAATCCATTGCATTGGGGAGATTGATAAGTTTTCATTCCAATCACCCATGGAAACAAAAAATAAACACCGCTGCCAGTCTTATTAGAAAAGTCCATCTGCTCAGCGACGAAGAATTTACAGAGCAAAACAACAAGAAAATAAAAAACATATTGTACAAAAACAGCTACCCGCACGCGTTAATAGAAAGATTATTACAAACAACAATAAACCAAATTCGCCAACCGAGCCAAACAACACTAACAAAAAATACATTGGGGTGACATACATACCAGGACTTACAAATAACGAAGTACTCCGAAAAACAATAAAAAATGAGAATGTGATATATGCACACAAGCCCCATAACACAATCAACAAATTGTTGACGAAAACCAAAGACAAGATTGAAAAGGAGCAACAACACAATGTAGTGTACCAAATAAAGTGCAAGGGCAATGATAACGAAAGCTGCAATAAATGCTACGTAGGCACAACAAAAAGAGCGTTGGGTATAAGAATCAATGAACACAGAGCGGACGCGAGAAACAAAAAGATGACAACAGCACTGGCTCAACACTTAACAACGCACGAACATATAACGGACTTCGGCAACACAGAAATTTTGGACATCGAAAGAAGGAGAATGACACTGGAGAGCCTACGAATACAACAACAATTGGACAACGCAATCAACTTTAAGGAAGACGTCGACAACACGAAGAACACATATGCAGCCGTACTAAAATTAAAATATAAACAAGTAAGAGCAGCGCTGTCTTCGGCTATGCCGAAGGCTTCATACCTTTCATGAACATCTGCAAATTTTACTTTGACAGATTACTGCTTTTGAATACATCTGCATACATCGATAGAGGAGTTACATACTTATATAAAAAATCGCATCTAAACAATCAGAGGTATGGAAGATATACTTTATATGACACCAATCTAAGTGATTTTCACCGCTATGTGATCGGTATGTAAACCGGTAACACAATTTATTGGGTTTAGTTTCGTACATAAAGGAGATATATGGCAAAAAAACTGGTATCTTAACAATCAGTGCTATAGGAGATAAAGCTTATACAGCATAGATTTTGACGATTTTCTCAGTAGACTTTGTATTATTATTTATAAAATATCTTACGAAATTTATCGGTTTTAGCTGTTCAAATAAAGGAGTTTTACAGTAAAATCCCATATCTGAACAATCAGATGTATGGAAGATATATGTTGTAGTCATCCGATCCTTGTTATTTTCACTGTAAGTATTCTGTTAATAATGAGTGAAAATGGTGCGAAATTTCATGTTCCTAGCTGCATAAATGGAGGAGTTATGATAAAAGACCTCATATCTGAACAATCAGTTGTATGGGGGCTGCAGGTTATAGTGACCCGATCTTTGTTATTTTCGCTGTAAGTCTTCTGTTGATAATGAGTGAAAACAGCGCGAAATTTCATGGTCCTAGCTACATAAATGGATGAATTATAACGAAAAATCTCATATCTGAACAATCAGTTGTATGGGAGCTATAGGTTATAGTTACCCGATCTTTTTAATTTTCACTGTAAGTTTTCTGTTGATAATTATTTAAAACAGTGCGGAATTTCATGTTCCTAGCTATATAAATGGAGGAGTTATAACGCAAAATTTTATATCTGAACAATCAGTTGTATGGGAGCTATAGGTTATAGTGACCCGATCTTTGTAATTTTCACTGTAAGTATTCTGTTGATAATGGGTGCAAGTATTGCAAAATTTCATGTTCGTAGCTGCATAAATGGAGAAGTTATAATGAAAAATCTCATATCTGAACAATCAGTTGTATGGGAGCTATATGTTATAGTGGTCCGATTCTTCCGGTTCCGACAAATGATTAATACATTATAAAAATACACCCACCTACCAAATTTGATCCGGATATCTCGAAAACTGAGAGACTAGATTGCATACAAACAGACAGACAGACGGACAGACGGACATGGCTAAATAAACTCAGCTCGACGTTCTGATCATATAAGTATATACCATTATAATACCATTTCATGCTCATGAAAGGTATAATAAGAATACTTCAATAATTCTTCCTAAATGTTGTATTACCTTCAAATGCGTAATGTGGTATTACCTTAAAATGTGCAAAGTAATGTAAGTAAATGTGTAAGTAAGTTAAGTAAAATTCTTGTCAATATTTAATGTGAGTTTCAAGTGATATTATGTGTGTAGATAATTAGTGTTAAGTATACATGTACATATGTAACTATTGTTGTGTATATATGTATATATACATGCAACTATTATTATGTTTTTGTTAATCATGGTTTTCGTTCGTTCTTCATGTTTATTGTTTATCGTTTAAATAAAACAGACTCCCTGAAGATGACACGAGAGTGTCGAAACGCGTAGAAGGGACAAGGGAAAAATATAAGCATTTCGCCTTTTACTCCATCGGCCGAAGCAGCTCCAACCCAGCAAACAAAAAACAGATACAGTTTGGATGTTACTTGTTGTCGTAGACGTTTTTTTTTTAATTTATAAAATCACATAACGCTGTTTGCAAGTGGACTACTCATATATTCATTAAAAGATAATTTGTCATCCGTCTGAAATAAAAAAATGTTAAATCGGAAGGATAAAATAGTATTTTGTTATTAATAGTATTTTGTTATTAATTCAAAAGTAAATAATTGTAGTTCAATGACGAAGGGGGGGGGAGGGGATCTATCCCCCCATATCCCCCCTGGCTTCGGCACAAATGTTATAATTGTATTTCAATAATTGTAGTTCATTCACAAATCCTTACACACATAAGGTTCTGTTTTGTGCATTTGGCAGATCGAAGATAGAATACGCAGCTTTTATCTGGAGGCCTTACAGTAAGACTCTTTTCAACCGCTTAGAGCGTGTTCAAAAAGTTTTTCTTCCGTTTGCTCTCCGACCTTTAAACTTTTCTATGCCATTGCCCTCTTGTCATTCTCGGTGCCTGCTAATTAGCCAGGATACCCTTGAAAATACGAGTTCTTTTTTAACGTGCTCATTTGATGTCAAACTCATAAATTAATCGATTGATTGCCCCTCCTTTCTAAATAAAATTGCAATCAATGTCCCTTCGAGAGTACTTCTCGTCATTCTGAATTCTTTAATATTGGTTCCTCCAAAACCAATTATGGTGCCAATGTTCCTATATTTCGTACATGTGAAGAATTAAATACAGTCTTCAATGCCTTAGATATTGATTTCTTGCAACCTAGTGCCACTTTAATCAACTACCCACGTCAATTCATTTCCCAGCTATACCATTAGCCATTTATTACTCGTTTGCTACATTTTATTTGTATGTTAGTTTTACGTTAACGTTAATTTCTACATAGTTTTAGATTTATACGCAGTCTGTTAGAATATTTGTATTCAAAGACTTGAAATAAATAAATATACATTGAAGTAAAACCAAAAGAATTGATGGAAAGATATCTAAAAATGGCAACCAGTGCAACATATTCAGTGTCTATAATGAAAGTTTATTTGTATATGTACATAAAGGGTGAACACACCAAAACTGCGACACTTTGGGAAGCTTATAACTTACCCAAAAAGATTTCAATATTTTGAAATTTAAATACCATAAGTTGACCATGACCTTAGTTGGACGTAGAAGAAATTTCATTTGAATTTGATTCCTAGTTGAGTTAAAAATGGCAACCGACTTAGAAACGAGACAAACCATTTTGCACGAGTTTATAAATGATCCGGCCTTAAGTACACGTAAAATTGTTAAAAATTAAAGATTGCACTATTCGACAGTTTGTAGGGTTTTAATCGGTACAAATAAGGCCTGGCAGTTACGAGAAAACCAGGGAGCGAGGGTTAGCATGGTCAAAGTGATAAAAACAGTGCTCGGAAGGTCCTCAGTGCGTTTTCGCGAGACCCGAAGATTTTGTCGCGTTATGTTGCAAAATCCGTACGCAGATCGCAGTTTTTCGTACAAAAGGTAAAGCGGAAAGCTTCATTGAGATGTTCTACAGCTCAAACCGCGCCAGACAGAGGCGCAAAGTAGAATGTTACAGCGAAATCCCGCATTCGGAAGTTGTATGAATTCTAAATTAAAAAATACAACTGCATTGTTATGGACTACGAAACCTATTGCTTTAAAAATTCAAAATATATTGCAGGTCAAGGTTTTCATACTGCTGCAAGTCGTCAAGATGCCCCTGAAAGTTGTAAGCTGAAAATGAAGTTCAAATTTCCAAAAAACCACATGGTTTGGCAAGCTATTTGTTCCTGGCGGACATGGCAAGCTGCCACTATGCCAAGGACACATTGCCGCGGTATAATGAAAATAACATCAATTTTGTACCTCACGACTGCAATCCACCCAATAGCCCAGAGCTACGTCCTATTGGGGAATATTCGTCAATTGTCAAAGGAATCTTGAAGAAAACAGGTGAAACAGTAAAAAATATTGAAGAGTGCAAAAACAATAGTTGTGGGCATCGCGTAAAGTCGATGATTCAGTCGTGCAGAACATCATGGCGCGTGTGCGATGAAAATACCGATCACTTGCATATTGAGCAAATAATAACTAATATTTTAACATTTAAATAACCTCTAAACTTCCAAGTTCAATAATACAAAAAAAATAATTTCAAAGTCTTCTAGTTTGTTTCTGGTAGTAATTTCTAAGTGTCGCAGTTTTGGTGTGTTCACCCTTTAAATTCATAAAAATATGTCTACTAAAACAATCATTGAATGAGATATATTGTTCTGAAAGACACCTTAAACTTTTTAACATTGTAAAAAAAAGGATTGATGACAATGGAGATTCAAAGATAAAAATATTTACTTACCAACGGCTTCAACCGATTTCTTTATATTCTGTTCTCCAACGGCAGGAAACCTCAGTAGCCATAGCACTGAATTTGGCACACTCTTTAAAATAGAAACCCATGATTGTAACGTTTGTGGATCTATCTTGTATAATTGATTGAAATTACAATAAACTATTGCGTCATCGGGTAATAAATATTGGCGCCGAGTTGTTATAACAATATTTTGAGGAACTTCCTCTCCAGTTGCGGCTTTGTTATTTGTTTGCGTGGTAGCTAACCCGTTTTGAACAACAATGCCATTAAGAGAGGTCTGGACTTGACCGGATGCAATCATTGATACAATTTGAGTAGTATTTGGGAGTTCTGCAACCTTATGTGTAATTTCCACTGGCTTTTGCACATTTACTATTTCTCTAACTTCTTTAACATCTGCACTTTCTACCAGTGGTGATAAGTCTGCAGCGTTTATAACGGCGATATTGTCTGCCACAGTTGATTGCTGTTTGTCACATACAATAATTCGTTCCTTAAGATGAGGAAACATTTGCTTGTGATCGCCAATGAAATACGTGTTCGGCATATACGCAAGCTTTTCACTGTATTGCGAAGCAAGCTCCATGGGACTAGTAACAGGGTCTGTTATAATGTAGTCCATAAAACTAGCGCCACTAGTTCCCGGGTATCCGAGCCACATAACTTGCACTGGCGCAGGGCGTAAAGCGAAGATTTCGTTGCGTGCACCTTTGGTATATCCATTCATATTCACTAATATGTGAATTCCATCAGAGTAAATGCGATCAGCGGCTTTACCATTGCACTGAATTTGGGACAAATCTACAAAATGTTCGGCTTCACGTATAATTTTATATCGGAAGGTTGTCCCATCATCTGAGCTTAACGCATAACAAAATATCTCGACACATGTTTTATCATGAAGTCCTGGGATTGATTGCATTAAATGGGAGGTAGGATGGTTGCCAAAGTCTGAGCTTACATATCCAATACGTAGCCTCCCATCTGTAGGCAAATCATGTGAAAACTTATATGCCGGTTTGTGTAGCACATGAATCTTTTCTAAACACAGATTTGCATGCCTGGTAGCAATAGCTTTGCGGAACTCATGTGATAGTGGATAAAGCATTGAATGATGTGGATGAACGGAAGGTAATCGATTTTTCTCAAGCTGTTCTGCTACAATGCTAATAAGTTTTTTCATTCGAGCGTCGTAGTCTGTCCAGTCACATACAATTTGTAAACAATGAGCTAAATTGCAATAAGCATCGGGAAAATCAGGTTTTAATTTCAATGCTGTTCTGTACGACTGTATGGCATCTGGAATATTTCCCGAATCCTTATGTATACTGGCGAGGTTGCTATGTGCATCAGCAAATGCAGGATTTATTTGAATCGCACGTGTGTAACATTGGAGAGCACCATTTATATCCTGAAGCTCTTTTAATGTGTTTCCCATGTTGGAATATGCATCAGCAAAAGTTGGTTGAATACGAATTGCTTCTTTGTAATGCATTAAAGCCTCTTTTAATTTTCCTTGCTGCTGAAGAACTGAAGCCAAGTTGGAGTGTGCTGCTGCGAAGTCTGGAAATACTTCCAGCGCCTTCAAATATAAGCGCGTCGCTTCCTCAATATATCCTTGTTCACGTTTGATATTTGCCAAGTTGTTCAAAGAATCAGCATGGTTTGGGCATAAACGTAAAGCTGTGTTATAACAATCTTCCGCTTCTTTAACCTGCAAACATAATCATATGATTTAGAGTTCAGTTTTGAATAATGACAAAACAAATTTCACTCAAACATTCAGAGCACAATGGGCCAGGAGCTAATCAAAAATGGGGAGAATTACCCGAAATAATGTTCTGAAATTGATTGAATGGACCAATTCTTTTCCATTTGTACTTCAGAAACCGTAAAATGTACTTCAGATTAGTCAATTGTATTTCAGGAACTATAAAATGTAATTCAGATCAGTCAATTGTACTTCAAAAACTTTAGATACTGTGTGATATGTACAAACACTTTTAAACAGTTAACACATTATCGTCAAAAAAATACACTTACCACAAATGAGCGCTCAACGAAAAATATGTTTTTCAAATCCAGTTTTCAGTTTTTTCTCGAAATTTGTTTACAAAAGAAAGCGCAGTCAATGCCCCGTTTACATTATGCCAGTCCAGTGACTGGCGTAATGTAAGCCGGCACCGTAATGCCGGTCTAATTTTCACGCCAGTACGACTGGCATAGTGTAGGCGGCCAATTCACTGGCCCGCCAATGCTTTCAGAACCTACGGTTGCCAGACGTACTTATTTGCACTGATGGAAATAATGCATAAAAAAATTATCAGTTGATAAAAAATAACCCAATTGTAGTTATCTTTTTTGCGGGATTTATATAAAATATTAACTTGTAGTTAGCTACAAAAAGCTAACATGAAACTAGTTGACAAGTAATGCAGGAGTAATGAAGGGGATTGTTTTCTTTAAACGCGTTTCTATTTAAATATCCTGCACTTAGCAAATACTTTTTCGAATTGAGGACAAATAAAAGGCAGTACGTCATTTCATATTATCATTTTGAAGTTATGTCTGACGGAGTTCGAATATGGGACCACCTACAGCAGAATATGTAAACAAGTATGAAATGTAATAAAATAAATAAAGTAAATACCAAGTAATTTTTAGCAAAAAAAAACCGACTTAAAAAAAAATATATATATCTATATATATTTTATGATCCAGTGATCGGATCTAAAGATTAGTATTGGACCACCTCTGAGACACTACCTTTCCGATGCAAAAAGAATTTTTTTTAAATCGGTTGACGTGGTCCAAAGTTATGCGGTAACATACATAAAAAAAAAAATTCTGACGAACTGATAACCTCCTCCTTTTTTGGAATTCGGTTAAAAACAAAAAAAAAATAAAAAAATATTTTGTTTTCCCTATTGATATTTTACGTCCAAAAGTAGTTAGTTACAAGTTAGTAAGATCAAATGCAGAGGTAACCACCCTTGACTACATCTAATGTAGGGGTAACCACCCTTGACTATTCCGCGGCTATCGCCATAGATAATAAGTGACTTTTAGCTCCTTCCTAATTAACTTAAGGTTAGCTTATAGTTAGATCCATTTCCTGCAGGGTACGCATCCTAAGCATGCAGAGCGGCGACAACACACACATACATACATAGTGCATGTATATCCGTACAAATCGCGTGCTGTGATGTTGATGGAAATTCTACATTTGAAAGCAAATTCATATGCCTGGGTGTAGCTGAATGCACTAAGCAGCGCGGACAAGCAGGTGCTTGATGAGAGGTAAAAATTTAAAACCGAAAGGGTAAGCAATAGCCGTGTACGTGTATTAACCCATTTTATGCAATGTATATTGCCAAAGGCTATTATATTCACCCCTTTGTTTATAGAGGAACAATTTCTAACTATAATTGTAGTCTATTTATTAAAAATAATTCAACATCATGAAATGCCGACCAATTTAATTTTTTTTTTTATTAATAAATCAATCAAGTTTAATTTGATTATACATTTGTCAAAAATAGTATGTGCCAATTCATACTGGCGAACAATAACGTGTTCAGTCGGTAGAAAACCGTCATATAAAAAAGTTGTTTTGCGCATGGTTGTCCTTTTTTTCCAAGCAAATTTCTAACGAAAAATTATATGCGCAAGAACAACAAAAGTGAATTACAAAGCAGCTAATATGCGCGCAAGCAAGTCGGTACTCACCACCAGTGTTGCCATTTCTGTTTCTGCCGTCCCGCCAGATTAATAAACAAAAATCGCTAGAATCCTGCTAATTCATTTAAATTCTGTAAACTCTTATGAAAAAAAGTTTCTTTTATAATTTAGCAGTTAAACTTTATTTGATAAAATTAGAGATCATATGTTTATAAAAAACCATCAGTTTTTTAACAAAAACAAAATTGGAACTTCGTTATATGGTTTTATAATCAGTGTTGGGATTTTGTGGCATTAAATGAAGTATCAAAACTGGTCATACGAATGACGTCTTCGTTTGTTTAACTACTACTACTAGCGTTTGTACTAGCTTTGTTTAAAGATTTAGTTGTTTTCTAGCTCTGTTTAAAGATTTTGTTGTTGTCTAGCAGAGAAAAAGGAATTAAAAAAATACAACCGTGACTTCTGTGTTTTCGGTGCGTATTAACGGTATAACATACTATGTATTTTTTAAAGTTTTTTCTTTCGGACTTATAATTTTACTAGCAGACCCGGCGAACTTCGTCCCACCCAAAATTTTTATATATTTTATTGAAACTTTTTGGTCCAAGATGTTCACCAACAATTCACGTTTACAATTTTCATAGGCACATTCGTCTGCTAAGATTATGGTTTGGTGGTCATTTGCCGCTTTAAATAACCTAAGGAAAGTGTTATATTTAGCAGTTTCAAAATGGGTGCAAATCATTGTTCTACAGAAATGCAATATACATATACTTATTTCAGACGAAATACCTTAAAAGTTTGAACGCATAATAATATTGGAAAATCACATCCATTGGGCCAATCGCAACGCAGGAGCGTTCGATATACCCAATGGTGCAACAGGTCGATTTAATCTGACCTTCACGGCCCCTTTTCTCACTTGGCTATTTTTAGTAATAGCTCAGCACCACTTGGCAGCACGTTTTTGCAATAGTATTGCATACATATTTAAAACATTAGCCAAATCGGATCATAAATAAGATTTTTAGTAATAACTCAAATACTGTCGGATTAAATTGTGAAACTAAACCATCCAGAGACCCACTCAAACACATAAAAAGTTTCGTTAAAATCCGTACAACCATTTAGGAGGATTTCACTAACAAACACACCTACAGAAGAATTAAAAAATACATTCAAAGATTGCTAAAGGTCGGTACGTTTGTAGGCCTCACACCCCCTTTTCAAATAGCCCAAATTTTCTCCATGAGTATGGGCTTGATTTCAACTACATACATATCTCCACACGAAGTTCCAGTACTGTACCATGCATACTTTCAGAGATATGCAGTATAAAAATTCGATTTATATGGGAGGTGCCACGCCTCCCTTTCCAACAGCTGCCCTCTTTCTTCATGAGTATGCGATTGATTTCGTATATCTCCATACCAAGTTCCAGAACTCTACCATGAACACTTCCAAAGATAGGCAGTATGAAAAATTCGGTTTGTATGGAAGATGCCACGCCCCCTTTTCCAATAGTTCCAATTTTTCCTCAAGAGTTGATTGCGTATATCTCCGTATATGAAAAATTTGGTTTGTATGTAAGATGCCACGTTCCTTTTCCAATAGTTCCAATTTTTCTCCAAGAGTATGCGATTTATTTCGTACATCTCCATTCAAAGTTCCAGAGCTCTACCAAAAAATTTCCAGAGATATGCAATATGCAAAATTCGGTTTGTATGGGAGATGCCACACCCCTTTTTACAATAGCTTAAATTTTTCTCCAAGGGTATACGATTGATTTCGTATATCTCCATACCAAGTTCCAGAACTCTACCATGCACACTTTCCGAGATATGTAGCATGAGTAATTCGGTTTTTATGGGAAGTGCCACGCCCCCTTTACGTATAAATTTTTTTTAGCCTAAAACCATCCTTGGGACACGTGCGGCAGGTGGCAGTTTCAAAAAAATCGGTTCAGCCGCTCTCGAGCCTTGCGGAAACTAAAAAACGGCCTTAAAAATATATATCACTTGAGATTTATTATATATTATAATTATATTTTGACAGTATCCATTGTTTCTGATTGGCGCAAAAAAATCTTCGCCCCTTGATATGGTCGTTGCTCAAAGCCTTCTTATATTCGAAATTGCATGAAAATTGGAAAACAGGAATCTATAAGCTTATCCAGGCAAAAAGCTACCTACGTACCGAATTTTAAGCAAATCGGACAGTAAATAAGATTTTTTCGAATAGATCGGTCCCTGGTCCACTTCTCGGAAAAAATTGATCATATATGCTAATACATGCTACTTACGTACCAAATTTTAAGCAAATCGGACCATAATATAATTTTTTCGAATAGATCGGTCCCTGGTCCAATTCTCAGAAAAAATTTGTGTTGCCAGCAATAAAAAATGTGTCGCCCTCGGAAACAAATTTATTGTCGGTAATATTGCCATCGAATCGATTTCCTATTACCGGTCGCTTTAAAACGTCCGCCGAAGGCAACTCGCCTGGGCGAGTCGTTTTTTTATTACCTGAATAAGTCCTTTTCTTATCGCTTCAGGCGATATTTGGAATAATTTTATTCTTTTTAATACTTCATTTATTTTTTTGTATACCAAATTGCAACTTACAATCGGAATTAATTCATTTTCTCGCTGTGAGGCTTCCTATTTTTTCAATCTTGTCCTTGGGCATAATTTAGATGCTTTTGGCCAATACTATTGACGCCATATTCATAAGTTTCGGAATTTTTGAGAACCTTTTTATTCAAAATTGACATGAATGAAGTGATGTTGCCGATTTGTCACCAATTTGTTGCCATTGACGATTGTTGCCTATTTCTCATGTTTTGCATGGTGGGATAAAATATTTTCTTTTGAAAAAAAAGTTAATTTATGTGCAAACATGTATGTATGTATGTATGTATTTTCGTATGTATACCACATAGAAAAGAAAAAAAACATGTTTATAAGTACACTTAATAAAACCATCAAATGGTTTACAAAAACGGCATTCTTTTATTAAAACCAAAATATAATATAAAAATTAAAATTTGC